CTGAATAAATAATCTTTCCATTGATGTATGGTTTGTTAGGATCGGACAATATTTGGTCGAGATACAACTATTTGAAAATCTGGAATCTGAGGGTGCAAAAAAATCTAAATATTGAGAAAATCATCTTTAAAGTTGTTCAAATGAAGTTCTTAGCAATGCATATTACTAATCAAACATTAAGTTTTGATATATTTACGGTAGGAGATTTACTAAATATCTTCATGGAACATGATCTTTACTTAATATCCTAATGATTTTTGGCATAAAAGAGAAATGTATAATTGTGACCCATACAATGTATTGTTGGCTATTGCTACAAATATCCCCCAGCGACTCAACACTGCTTTTGTGCTGCAGGGACACATATTCTGTATATATAAAAATGTTAAAATGAAGTTAGGTTTCTGTGACTGGTAGGTTTAGGGTTGGTGTAGGTTAGGTCCATACTGTTGTGAGTTTTAACATTCTATTAAACATTCTTTATTATCATTTTTAAGATGTTGTCTTTGTGGTGACCAACTAAAGGACCCCAAAAAGCAGTATATTTTAGTTTTTACTATCTTTGTGGGGACATTAGGACTCCACAACAGCGACTTAACACTGCTCTTGTGCTGCAGGGACACATATTCTGTATATATAAAAATGTTAAAATGAAGTTAGGTTTCTGTGACTGGTAGGTTTAGGGTTGGTGTAGGTTAGGTCCATACTGTTGTGAGTTTTAACATTCTATTAAACATTCTTTATTATCATTTTTAAGATGTTGTCTTTGTGGTGACCAACTAAAGGACCCCAAAAAGCAGTATATTTTTGTTTTTACTATCTTTGTGGGGACATTAGGACTCCACAAAGTATTATAAACAAGGGTGTGTGTGTGTGTGTGTGCAGGATGAACCCTGCCGCTCAGCCGCTCCCGGTGCAGGATGTTCAGGGTGATGCGCGCTGGATCTCACAGGTAAACCTGCATCATACAGGACTAAACGTGTCTGCTTCTGAAGTCACTTTTACTTCATCAGAATCTGATCCTCAGGTGTGTGTGTGTGTGTGTGTTTCAGCATGATCGCTTTGTGCAGGAGTGTAAGGACGCAGAACCAGACGTGCTGTTTATCGGAGACTCCATGATTCAGCTGATGCAGCAACACGAGGTAAAACAAGTCGTTCCAGCTGCTTTTGAATGGAATTGTGTGAATCTCTCTATTAATCTGTCTGATGATGATGATGATGATGATTTCTGCTCTCTCAGGTCTGGAAGGATCTGTTCTCTCCGCTGCATGCGCTCAACTTCGGTCTGGCCGGAGACACGACCTGCAACGTTCTCTGGAGGATCCAGAACGGCGAGCTGCAGAACATCCAGCCGAAGGTGCGAGCTCAGAGCACAGGAAGTGACATCACGAGCAGCAGACTGTAATGTGTGTGTCGCCCCCAGGTGGTGGTTCTGTGGGTCGGCACCAATAATCACCAGCACACAGCAGAGCAGGTGTCAGGAGGAGTGACGGCCATCACACAGATCCTCATCTCACAGCTCCCTCGAGCCAAGATCATCGTGCTGGTGCGACCGTACACACACACACACACACACACTCACACTCACACTCTCACTCTCTCTCTCTCTCTCTCTCTCACACGCACACACACTCACACACACTCACAAACACACACACACTCACACACACACTTTCTCTCTCTCACACACACACACACTCTCTCTCTCTC